TGAGCCACCAGGCTCAAGTACCTGATAAAAAAGGTATGAATTCAGACTAGAGTCAAGTGAGAACCGGCCCGGACGTACTAAGTTGCCTGTCAAAGGAAGTAAATTGATCCGAAAAAATGTTTAGTTATTACAAAGACAGAAAATGTCGTAAGCAAGCACAGCAAGACGAAAGGGGTATCGTTGCTTTGCAGAGGAGAGGGACTGCTTGAGCGAGGCGAAAGTGAAGGGGAAGGAGATGGTAAAAAAAAAAAAAAAACCTTGCAATTTCCACGCTTTTGGAAAAACAGCAGCCCTCTTCGCAGAAAACTGGAGAAGGCCACAGCTACCTAATGTTTTTGTGTGATAACTCAGCGTATCTCGATACGTACTTGCTAGTGCTTGAGACTATGCAAGCACAGGAGGTGTAGCGCTGGGGAAGGGGGATGAAAACCCATCGACAAGCTTTGTATTAGTTTCTTGTGGGAATGTTTCTGCGGATGGGAAGAAAAATATGCAGCGCTAAAGCTACTCTGAAATTCAGCTCGCTCTTTCAACTTCTTACTGATCGAGCGCTTTTTAGTCGATTAATAATAATCAATGTGAGCAGTTATGTAGCAAGTCGATGTAAAATTCTTCCCTGTCCCACTTTTTCTAGGGCAAAATTTTCGACTCTACCTAGCTGCTAGGAATCTTTCGCCCGGTAAAATACCGACAGAACCGGACGGTGGAAACTAATCAAATTTCTTACAACTCCCTAGAGTAGCACCGCTAGCCCGCTGACCGACAAAAGATTTTGATCGGGAAGAGACAGTTTCCTTGACAAACACAAGAAAAAAAATTTATTTAACAATTAACACTTTGATAGTAAAGAATCGCAAGCAATGTAACAATTGAACTACATAATAATGAGAAGTACAGAAACACGTCAGCTTCGAACAAAGAATCATCAAACGCTTTTGAAAAGAGAGAAGGTGCAACTTCTCCTGCTGCTTTCCTCAGTGCTTACGGTTGCTTGTATCGGTCGAACGTCTGTGCAATGGGCACTGAATCATAACTACAGCCCCGGTGGCCCCATAATAAAGCAGCACTCAACGGGCGTTTTATCAGTGTAGCGAATCTTCAAGACTACACACCGTGTTTTCAAATATAAAACCCCCAATTTCTGGCTTGCATCATTCTCGGGCGAATGACACAGGTACGCACTTTAACTTAGAGCAGGACGCACTGACAATCAGGGAATGATTTGAGGTTTTTAGCGCTGTACAACGCTACATATCATTTCCCAAAAATTTTAACTTTTCATTTTGCGCAACATCTTACTAACTAGCAACAGTTTACACTCTGGACGAAACCAGCAAATCACAAAGCGCTCGGTCATCTCGGTCATCACTTCAAAACGAAAACAGCGTGAGAATAGTTCCGAAAAAAAAAAAAATCGAGACCAAGACATGTAAAAACCTCACCGAGTAATTGGCCCGCGGAATCTACGTTCCACTTTAAAAACTTGTAATCCTATAAATGTGGTAAAATACTGCGCTTACCAAAATTAGGTTTAGACGAATCGCGAACAAAAACCAAAGTTAATGCCAACGATGGTCCGAGAGGAGACAAAGTTTGCTCATTTGAAAACGGAAGAGGGCAGTAACTTGGGGATGAGGAGGCGGTGAATTACGTGGATGAATCTGTCTGGTTGAGGGTAGGGCGCCGAGGGGAGCTTCAAGCAAGAAAACTTGTCTAGACAGAGGGCGTGAAAAAACCAGGTGGAGAAATGATCAATTTGCCCAGAGTGGAAAAGATGACCAACATGAACAGAATTGCTCGAAAAAGGCGAAATGAGAAGGGGAAATCGGGCAAAAAAATTTTTTACTTTGTTTTCTCCGCGATAGCTGAACTAGACTAAGTAACCAGGCATCTACCTGAAATAGAGGGCTCCGGTTCCAGCTCGATGGGTCACATTCTGTCCAGATTTCTCCCCATCTGAACGAGAAAAGAATTCATTTGAGAAAATTACGTTTTATGGGAAGAACTCACGTGGCGGCCGAACACCATATTTCTGAGGAACCCGCCTTAACTTCCAGCAACAATGTGGCTAAATATCCTCATATTTTTCTTTCTCTAACACAAAATCCTCCTTTCCGAACTCCTATCTAGTAAGCAAACTTCCCTTTCTCCCCTTCCTCTGCCTCGCCTTTCGTCCGGATCATCGCCAGCTTTATTTCATGGGGGAAAAAATGCAGAAAAAAATACATGAATATAAAAAACCAAGTGCGAGGAAGCCTGAACCAAACCTAACAACAGCAAACAAGTAATTCAACATTATAATCAGGCATCCAAAGTTCACCCCCGTCCAAAACACTTCTCCTCACCTACCTTTTCCGTCTTCCCTCTCTTTCTTCAGATTTGCATTTTATCAGAATCAGTTCTGTTTTTCTGCACTTGCTGCCCTGGATGAGCACCAATCAGACTGCACCCGTTCAAATAAGGCGGAAATGTGTAAAAGGGGAACGGGACGGGCTGGAGGAAGTGGGTGTAAAAAAGCGAGGCATGCTGAGAGGAGTCTCGAGATTATCCAAAATATCAAACTACCTCCAAGGAAATAATTAAGTTCCAGAATGAAGAAAATTACATCTGAAAACTGCAATAGTGCAACAAGAACAACCAGAACTATCTCTTTTTGTGAATGTTGCATAGACAAAAGACAAGAGCCGTGTGCGGGAAAAGCACACTAGAAAGGATACTGTTTTCAAAACAAAGGCTCTCCTGCTTGAGAAAGAAACCAAAGGAACTGCTATATTTAAAACAATTTATGAGAAGCCGAAGATCTAGAGATATTCCGTAAGAAAACAAAACCAAATGCCCAATGTGCAGACAGTACGTCTGCCGAAACTGAACATGTTAAAAAAGAACGAATGCAAATAAGTGCAAAACGAAAGATGCGGAAAAAGAGAAAAAGAGCAAAAAAGGTGATTACTAAAACTCCACTCAGCTCAGTTTGACTCAGTGCGATATGCACTCGTTTTTGATTTCGGGATCGAGCAGCGGAAGTCGTATTCCAGGTAATGGTCTAAGTGCCGCATTCAAGACTGCTAACTTCCCCTCTGCATCAGGTTCCATGTTGAACAGGGAAAAAACGCGCAGCCCCGCCTCCAATAAGCCCTGCACCTGTTTCCAATTCCTACCCCGAAGCAAGGCCTCAGCCTCATTATAGTCAATAACTTCTATTCCCCCTCTCCGTTACAAACCCGAAGCCTGAATCATCTAATCGTTCGCCCTCACCTTCTTCTAACCTTACCGCCCAGTCATTGCAGCTCGTCTCCACCCTAATGAAGCTAAGTCGAGTTTTAGTAACTGTTGCAAAACACAGAGTGATGAAAGCAAAATGTCAAATTACCACAACGAAACAGGCACAGCAAACGCGCCGATACCGCAAACTAAAAGGGGAAAAAAAAAAAAACAGGAAGCCAATTACTATACGGATTGCAACTGATCGGCTGAGAGGGTACCAAGCGCCGCGTCCAGCGTTTTAGTCTAGGACTACCGTTCCAGTTAAATAATTACCCTAAGTTTGTCCGCTAGCAGAATGGAACTCCCAGATTTTCCATTAAGGGGACACTCTTTGTCATTTCCAAAAAGTCTGTAGAGAGGAGAGGACCTGTACGACAAACATTCATATTTCCCCTTCAATACTTCCTGTTTTCACTTCATACACTCTCCCCTAGTTTGATTTTTAATCGGCGCTCGAAACCGCCAAGTTCATGCTCGCATCAGCAATCGCCATCTCAACCCGCATAATAATTGAGAAAGTGGAAAGACCGGATGACCCTCAGCTGCTAATTTTACGGCCCGTCTCAAAATGATTTTCATAAACTGTACTGGAAAAACTAAACTCCACATCGACAAAGAAAAACTCTTGCAATCTTTCGTCGACGGAATGATTTTCATTGAAAAAAATAAAAAAAAAAAAAAAATAAAAAACAAAACGAGACGCTGCTGAGGTTCAATGCACAAAAGGAGCAGGACTGAAAACCGACGAATCGAAAATAAAGTTGGTAAAAAGAGCTAGTATGCTTTAAGCCAAGCTGCATGTGAAGGGAAATCCACACCAACGTGAACTCAGCAAAAAAAAAAAAAAAGAACTGCAACAACCAGCCGATAACTAAAATGCCTAAAAAAAGCCGAAAGGTACGATAGAGCATCACTGACACTATCGAACACAAACTAGAATGACCATGCAATTATCTCCCAAGATACTCTGTTTTGAACGCAGTGTAATTCAAACGATGCCATGTGAATACTGACAAAAATTGAAGACCCGGAAGTATTTCGAACCAGGGATGCTTCAACAGCCACATTCTAACCATATCCGACAATCAAAACATAAGTAGTGTAGGGTGTGTCGTCAATTTCATGAATAAAAACTAATACGCGTAATTTTAGATTTCCCGCATAAGTGGCCACCTGACAAACTGCTCGCAAGGCTTCCGAACAGATGAAACGTGAATGTAAAGGTTATGGTAGGTGGCAACCGGAAGCAAGTATCAAATGACAAGGGACCATGACAAGTCTCGTCCGGCATATCTTACACTTCAGCGGTATCTTAAGCTTGATGACAGCAACCTCAGCTCTAGCGGTTCATGCTACATAAAATAACGATTTTAAGTTTTTGATTCAAAGCAAAAAAAAAGTAAATTTGAGCAAGACTTTTAGCCTCACTTACACGACTGAAGACAACTCGTAATCGCTGAACAAAACGTGTCAGCTGGGTACCTCCAACACAATGCGGCGAAAGCAACCAACTCACATCCAGACGCACACACCACAAGCAGGTACAAGAGCTCAGTTCCGCCTGTAATTATAACCAGATATCCTAAACAAGTGTTACGGACACGCTAAGAGAATACATCCGAGTAAGGAGTTACAGTACATTGGTGACAACCATTCATGGACAAGGGCTGCTCTCTGCTATAATGACCGTTCTGTAAATTTACAGGAAAAGCAAAAAAGGAAAAAAAAACATGCAGTTAAATGAAAAATCCCTGTAAATTCGGCCACTGCTTAACAACAAAGTCACAGCTCTGGCACGGATGCAAAGCAATCCGACGAGTAATCTTCTTTTGGCATACTCGTCTACGAAGCAGCCTGAAAATCACAGATGAATCAATAAATAGTGCGGATTACTAACAAATCTAAGAAAAAAAAAAGAAGTTCCTGAAGTTAAACGCTAATGAAATCATTAACTACTTACATATGACAGTAAAGTCATAGTTCAAAAAGAACTTAAAAATCAATGAAATGACTCTTGAAAGTCGGCACAGGAAAACAGACAGAGCAACGACTTCCCGATAACCCTACCAATATAAGTACCGTAATTCTAATGGTAACGGAAATACTGGAGTTTCTGCAGAAATCGCACAGAAACTGTGCCCATTAACAACCTCCAAAAAACTCCGACTATAGTCAAAAATGGTTTCACTGGAAAACTCTTCATCCGTTATAAATTCACAGATATCACTTTTTCTGGTTTCCAAGTAGCATTTTTCTCGACAGAAATTTTGCCGTGCTCGTACATGAGAACCACGCAAACCTGGACGCTAAATCTGAAATCTTTAAGTGCTACGAGACGGGGAACATCTGCTAAAAATTTCAGCTCTTCAGCTTCACCAGTTCTTGAGTTAGCAGTTTTCCCGTCAAAACATTCACGCGCTTGTACTTGAGCGTCACACGGGCGTGAGTGATCATTTTACGGACATGAGCCCATACACAGGAGTAAACTAAGCTGTCAAAGTTTCAGCCTCGCAGCTTTCCTGGGTCTCGAGATGAAAAACCCGCACACACGCACAAGCACACACAAACACACATACATGCATACAGACAATCATTGACAATACGCGTTTTTGCACTGCATAGATACAAAAAACGCATAAAAATGATGTTTAAAAACAGGTTTTTCCAAGCGTCTATGCAAAAAGAGAAACATTTTACAACCATAATGACTACATCCTCTCACCTTCGGCATCAAAATCTTAGCCCCTAGCAGTCAAAAAATTCAGCAAGCAAAATTTCGAAAGTGCGCACGTCTTACATACATGCTGCTAATCTGCGAACCTCATCAGCTCTGAAAAAGAGCTTGCATGAAAATTACTTCATATTTAATGAGTAAGAAATGTAATGAAGAAAAGCCTTGTCACTTTATCTTTCCTTCAATTCCCACAACCCTCGTCCCTTCTCGCCCAACTGTATTGTTTCAACAAGCACAAAAATTCAAATTATAGATGCAAAAACAAAACTTAATCCTCCCCGACAACTAAAACCTTGCTGAAAAAATTCATTAACAATATCAGCGATGAAAAAAAAAATCATGCAATGGGAAAGTTTCAGAGTTTTAGCTCAGCAAGTTTAAGTCCGATCAATACAATTTTAATGTTGGCACCTGTGCAACAGAGCAAGGAGAGAGACTTACTTCAGTCGTGGTCCAGCCAAAAACAGATGTTTGTCATCGGCACCACTCCATCGGCTATCTGGAGGGCCTTTCTTCCGCGATGCGCTACCCACTGCTGTTAGTACGACGGGACCAGTAGCGGTTGCTGCTGCGGTTGCGGCTGCACTGCTGGCAGCTTTCCTATCAGCACCGGCCAACGTATCGATACCGATCAGAAGCGAAGACGGCTGCGAAATGGGATATCCAGCGATGGTACTGGATCGCGATGCGGCCGCCGCTGCTGCCACTGCCTGTAGCTGTGCATGCTGCTGTTGCTGTACGGTTGCGGCAAAAAAAGCCGGATTTACGGTAGCTGGGACGAGCACAGAAGCCGGCAGCGATAGCGGTGTCACTGTCGCAACCGGTTTCCTGGTCTCGTACGTAACGCTATGAGAAGCAACGGCTGCCGCTGCTGCTGTTGCAGTGATTTGGCCTAGGTGCATCTGCTGATTTCTTACTGCAGTGCTGGGAGAAGCCCTCATCGGGCTCGCCGGGGCTGGTTGCTTGGTGGTAACAGCAGTAGTGTTGGAGGTGCTGCTGCTGCTGCTGTTGTTGTTGTTGCTACTAACATGTGCACATGAATGAATAGCAGCAATCTGTGGCTGTGATTGTGGTGCCGGTGCCGGTGCTGGTGCTGCTACTGATATGAGTGCTGGATGATGATGAGGCTGCTGCTGCTGCACAGTGGCACCAGCGTTTGCTGTTACCAAATGAACCGCATTCTGCTGCTGCACCAGTTGCTGCAAACAAAAAGAAAAAAAAAGTGTTATGGTGGCATTCGGAAAAAATACCTGCTTCGTGTCAATGCAACAAAGTGCAAAAAACAAAAATAAATAGCGGCACGCACCAGGGCAGCCGGTACGACCATGCGTTTTGTGCAATTCCGCCCAGCAAACGATTGCTTGTTAATGTTGAAAAATAGTTAAAAACTTCACGCACCGGTACGTGAAAATTGAATTTGAAACACTGAAGAATGAACATGCTTCCAAAATTTCAATCTCCTGATTTTTTAGCTTTTAAACAAAACATTCATGTGGTTGTATGTAAGACTTCAGCATTGTTTGGAACTGAATTTGAGCCTGCGAAGTCCCTGCTTAGGCAAGAAGCATTCTCCTGAAATTTTCAGCCTCGTACCTCTTTTGGCTCCCGAGTTAGTAATTTCCTTCGCCAAAACTTCCACGGGAACGTTGAAGATTTGCGGGGTTGTACGTGGGCAGGAAATGTCATGCTAAAATTTTAGCTTCCTAGCTTTTGCAGTTCACGAGATAATTTCCCTGCCAAAACTTTCACAGGGCTGAACGTGGTGCCCAGCGGTGCGTGAAGGCTGAATCCATATTTGCGGGGGTCTTACGTGGATAGAGAACATCGCCTTAAAATTTCTAATTCCCAACTTCCGTGGTCCTCGAGATAGTAATTTACCCGCCAAAAGTTCTACGAGACTGTAGATGATACCCGAGAGCGCAGGGACGCTGAATGTGAACTTGCAAATCCGTACGTGGGCGGGGGATCATTACTCTAAACTCTCAGCTTCCCAGACCCCGTAATTTCCTTGACAATTTTACTTGCCAAAACATTTACAGGGCCACACATGTTACCCGCAGGTAAGGAAGGCTTAATTTAAATTAACGGAGCCACACATGGGCGGGACCAATAGGAGTCACACATGGTCGGGTTACGGAGTCACTAAATTTTCAGCTTCCCAGCTTTTGCAGTTCTCGAGTTGAAAGTTGCAGACACACACACACACACACACACACATACACACACACACAGACAACCCCGTGACAATATGCGTTCTGTACTGCTGTTACACAGCACAAAACGCATTAAAAAGTATCCAAAACCGTTTCAAAATCAAAACACTTACATAAGTCAGTGCTTGAAACAAAAAAATGCTTGTAACCTCCAGTGTTAACATACATACGCACAAAACCCAGCACACAAACATACACACATGTGTTTTCGGTTCAAAGAGGGACTTTTTAATTCATATAAGATGTTCCTAATTTATGGTTTCAGTGTCGATGACTCTTTCTTCCGAAAGTGCTAGAAAACGAGGCCTAAACACTCCACACACAATTTATGGAAATGCAAAATGCTATTAAAACAAACGAACAACTGTTTACCGATCGGGATCCAACAGCAGACTCTGATATAAGGTAGTTAAGTAGTCAGCTCCAAAAAAAAGCTCTACAACTTATCACACAAGAACGGAAATTATTAATGTGCTCACTTGCATGAAAGTGCAGTAACAGATCACGCAAAATGTATTACCCATTGCCTCTGCACAGGAGAAAGTATATTAGGCAACTTCTGTGCTAGGCGTGCTTGCTGAAGTTCCGGGATCTTAAATGTTTTATAAAAAATGACGAGTTCATTCTATGTTTTGTCAGTCCGACCTATAAGAATCAGATGTAGGTATGAAAAAGCATTCATCAGTTTAACGGTTCCATTAAAAACTTTTCAGCACACCCGGTACGCTCAAAAGCAATTTTCTCCTCGAACACGAAGAGAAATTTTTTTGGTTCTTTTATAATTCAAAGATACTTCTCAACTTTCCATCCCCCGCCTCCGCCTCTCGTTTTCTCAAAACGCATCTAAGCCCAGCAATTCGGAACTAAAATAGCATTCAAATTTTTTAAAATACTTTTGGTGCAGTGTCACATTTTTTGCTTTTGGTGTTTTTTTGACCTTGAAGCACCATCATGTGAAGCAGATTCAGCAAATACAGAAAATATGGGCACGGCAGCATTTCCCACTATCTTCCCCTCCGTCCCTTTATCGCAACTTGCCGAAAAAAATGAAATGATTTTGGTCAAATATTCAACTACATTTCAATATGGCTAGCAGTAGTTTCGAATAAAAACAAGCTTGTAAAATTAATGTGAACTTAACGAATCTGAGAACACAAGACTTCAGCAACTATCCTGTGAACAAAACAGATACGTAGGCTAATGAGATGATAACAGCAGAACCTAGGCAAAACCTGTTTCTAAAGACAGCGACTGGTACAGATCAGACATATGACAAAACGAAGAAATCTACAGCACATCTGGATGAAAAAAGTGGAAGGAGGACTGGGAATACGAAAGCACTGGAAGCTCGATGGCTGCATAACAAGCATTCTAGCGACAATCAGAAGATCCCTGTCCCTGAAATCTGAGCAGTTACCCCCAGCACACTTTATTTCAGAACTCTTGCATTAATTGTTGCTATCCGCTCGCTCGTGCTGGAATCTCATAACAGATCTGATCCTTCAACTTCCGGGTGGGCCTTCGAACTGAAGGCCGTCTGCTCATGCTGCTGCAAATAACACATCTAGAATAGGGGCCCTCCAAACTCATAATTAATCACTGCGTTATCCTCATTTTAACAGAAGAAGATCAACGATCAACAACTAATGTTCTCATTGCCGTGAAAAAACTCGCCTTCCCTACCGATCCTTCCACCTCTTTCATATCTCCTTTTCTGCCCTAAA